CCTCCATTCTCTCCTTATCATTTCAGCTAGCCCCTGTACAAATTCAATGTGAGAATAAAGAAAAAAAAAAACCTTTACAATAGCAAAAAGCTGTATATATAATATGCTGTGGGAAATAAAGCTGTTAGGTGTTGGCATCTTTGGAAATGACCTAAACACGCTATTGTGCATGTCTATGTGTTATTAAACCTCTCCCTACTCATCTCCAGCCTCCAAGGGAATAAAAAAAAAATCACAATAAAATCACCCAGGTCTGTTATGACTTATACAATAAAAGTGTTCCAGAAATGTTGCATTTAAATCCAATCCTATCTTAATGTAGTACGAAAGTTGACTACTTAAAGAAAACTTATGGTAAATTCTTTTAAATGGAAAAAAAATTGTTTCATAAAGCAAATGATTACCTTCCAATTTATCAGTTTTGAATATGAGTATCCCGCGCTTTTCGAAAGTTCGCTTTACGCCAGTTCACTTTAACGAAAGAACTACATTAATATCTGTTTTCATTAACCTGGAGAAATCCAAAGAGGATTTTCGCTTTTACAAAAAAAGCCTACAATGTTTTGCATGGAGCCATTAAAGAGGCATCGCCCCACCCCCAGCAGCTACCAGTAGCAGCAAGAGTGGTGTGGCCCTAGGTGGGGGGCTGGTGTCCGCCCTCTCCCCCTAGGAGAGGGAGCCCAGAGGAGGCACCTGGAGCTGAGGCCAATGCCCACCCCCCCCACCCCCACCTGCTACCTATCGGCCTCTCTCCCAGGGCGTCAATCCCAGGTGCCAGTGAGGGTGGGGGGAAGTAGCTGATTCAGCCCCTCCTTCCTGGTTTCTTCCCAGGCGCCTCATGGCCTCTGCCCTCACCTTGGGGGCGGCTCCCAATTCCTCCAGGAAAGCCGACATGTGGGACACTCTCAGAGGCATGAGCTGGGGAGGGCAGTGACTTGGACGTGGTGGCCCTAACCCTGAAAGGGGGCAGCCCTCAGGGCCTCTGTCCCAGTTAGGGGATGTCTCTGACCTGGCCAAGCTCCTTCCCCAGGAACTATACTCAGCATCAAGCTGCCCTAGCTTTGAACTGTATCTGTGAGCATCTGTGCTTTACCTCTAGTTATCATTCCTCCTTTTACTATACGTTAATGGAGCCCTAGTGGCACAGTGGTTAAGAGCTTGGCTGCTAACCAAAAAAGTCAGCAGTTCGAATCCACCAGCTGCTCCTCGGAAACCCTATAGGACAGTTCTACTCTGTCCTATGGAGTCACTATGAGTCTGAATCAACTTGAGGGCAACGGTTTTGGTTTAGTGTTATTTTAGGTTTTATGTGTGATTTGGTAGGTTACTTTTTGGGTCTGGGAACCCTCAAAAATTTTTCCCATGTAAATGAATGGTAATTGCTTCTTCACTTGATGCCATTTCAGCTTAGCAAAGGTTTCATAGGAACACTGTACTTTTGGATAGTTGGATAGCAGGGGAAACCTGTATCTGGATCTTTTTATAACTGATCTTCTTAAAGCAGGTAGCACCTATATACCTTAGAAGAACATTTGTTTTACTGAAGAGATACTTCTCAGATTTATACATTGAAAAAGAACCATCAGAAAATAACCTTTTTAAAATTTGACAATCTTTTAAAACTTGCATACTTGCAATACACAATCTTAAAGAACCTCTATCTGCATAATTTTTAATTAGGCAACTCTATCAATTTCACATGTTAATTCACATATATATTAATTTCTCATAAAATATTTTTTGAACTGCCTGTGTTAAAATTCTTATCCCATGCCCGCATATTGCTAACCTCAAAACAAGTATGAGTTGGTTACTCTTTAAATAATCTCAGCCTTATATTTTGAATTACGAGAGAACAAACGTTTGTTAATTGCTTTTACAATGTAGAGCATACAAAGCACAATGTAAGATTTAATATTACAAATAAGAATAAACATTCCAGAGCAACCTCTTGAACCTCCATACCAAGAAGCCGTATTGTTTCTACATCAAGCAGAAAGTTTGAACTGTGTGAATACATAGGAACTTACTATTTTATATGAATGATGACCTCTGTCCTAAGGATAATCATGACTACGTTTTGAATTATTTTTCCCAGCTCCCAGCTCATTGTCTGGCATGAAACAGGTACTCAGTAAATTTTTATTCAAATGATATATGAATAAATGACTGTTTTCAATGGTTGAGGTTGCTTTACCCACACAATGTCTTGACAGCTTTCCCCTTGTGACCAATGACCTGCATTTTCATGATAGCTCTTAGGACTTCAGGGAAAATAATTTGGGGCCCATGTAAATTATTTTTTGTTTTGTTTTGTCTTATGCGGGTGAACGAACTTGTTCACAAAGAAATAAATCCTTTGACTTTGACTTTTTTTGCACCATTCTCTCTTCCAGTGTTTCTCAAAGCATGATGTTTGGACTGTCTGCAACAGAATCACCTGGACAAAAAGGCAAATTTCCAGCCTTGCTGATGTGATAGCAATGAACTTTGCTCAGCAAATGTTAAGCCTACCCCAAAAAGGTTAGCCAGACATAAACAAAATAATATAGGAGGAACTATATATTCCTATCAGTAGTGAGAGTATGTTATAATTAACTAACTGGTTGATTAGAATCTGAGGGAGGGGACTGAGAATCTGTATTTAAAGAGCCCCATCTTCACTTTAGTTGGGTGCTTCCTCATGATTCTGATGCACATTAGTTTAAGAACCTCTCCTAAGGTAGAGTTCAGATGAATTTTTTTTTCTATTGTGTTTTAGGTGAAAGTTTATAGACTCAAAGTAGTTTCTCATTCAAAAATTTATATATACATTGTTTTGTGACACTGGTTGCAATCCCAGCAATGTGTCAGTACTCTCCCCCTTTCCGTTTATACCCCGGTTTCCCCGTGTCCATTTGTCCCGGATTCCTGTCTCTTCCTGCCTTCTGGTCTTTGCTTTTGGGCAGGTGTTGCCCATTTGGTCTCATATGCTTGACTGAACTAAGAAGCATGTTCCTCACGTGTGCTATTGTTTGTTTTATAGGCCTGTCTAATCTTTGGCTGAAAGGTGGACTTCCGGAGTAGCTTCAGTTCTGAGTTAGCAGGGTGTCCGGAGGCCATAGTCTTGGGGGTCCCTCTAGTCTCTGTCAGACCAGTAAGTTGGTCTTTTTTTTAGAATTTGAATTTTAAATCATAGTTCAACTAGACTAAAAGTTTAGAACAAGCAAATTAATGTCTTATAAAATATAGAAAATAGGTAGCTCTAGTTCTGCGTTTCCAGAATCTAAAAAGAAACTAAAGAGGCAAATATATTGTCACCATAACCAGTGTAAAAGAGGTTTGATGTTTACTTTATTCAGGTCCAACTTAGAATCCAAGCCAAATACTATAATATTACCAACTTTAGTAGATGATTTCCAAATAAAAGTGCTCTGCAAGCATATGATAAGGATTGTGTGATCGTGGTCAAAGGGATGATGTTGCAAGGATTTGTGCATGGTCACTCATTAATGATGTGTAATTGCCTATGATTGACTCTTCTGCCATGAATGAGGCAGGGAAGTCTGGTGCACTTTGAGGAAATCAGGGACTAATCAAAAGCAGATTTTTGTTGAGATTGGCCCAATATGGTAGTTATTTTTAAAGCGCATGGGGGAAAGAACATGCAATTCTAATTAAAAAAAATATTTACACCTTCCCAGAAGGCACTCTACCAATTTAGACTAAGAAGTAACACTGTCATGTATTAGGATAAAGAGCGGACTAAAGCATATATATTAATTTCTAATAAAATAGTTTTGAACTCCCTGCGTTAGCGTTCAGAATTCTGTCATAGACAAAAATAAACAATTGAATGTCAGGGATCAAAAAATTTAAATATATGGATTATAGCAATGAACTAGGCTCAGCAAATGTTAACCCTACCCCAGAAAGGTCAGTCAGGCATAAACAAAAATAATACAGAAAGAAATATATATTTCTAACATTAGTGAGAGTATATTGTAATTAACCAGCTGGTTGATGTCAACATTAGATGGCGTGTGTGTGTGTGTGTGTGTGCACGCGCGTGCGTGCACACACACACACACATACATACATATACATCTAAGACATGTATGATAATAGAAAAAATAATCAAGATTTGCTCAGGAGCAACAGCAGGTAGACTTTTGTCATCCAGTTTCTTAGGGCCTTTTAAGGTATTTGGTTCTGACCTATGTGTCTGAAAAGACTTTCTAACATTCTCTGCCAGGTAAGAATATCCTGAGTTTATCTCTTCCACACTTCACTTTTACTTCAGATTTAAAACATAAAGATGGGCACTACTGTCTTGGGTTGCTCCCTTTAAAAGTCACTTTGTTGTTGTTGTTGGGTGCTGTTGAGTCAACTTCAACTCCTAGCGACCCCATGTGACAGAGTAGAACTGCCCCATAGTGTTTTCTTGGCTGTAATCTTTACAGAATCAGCTCACCAGGTCTTTCTCTTGCAAAACTACTGGGTGGGTTTAACCACCAACCTTTCGGTTAGCAGCCAAGCGCCTAACCATTTGTGCCACCAGGCTAAAGCTCACAATAACATCACTCATTTATGAAGAATTTTGTATAAATGATATTTTGGATGCAGTCCAAGATTATATCATTCCAAAAGCCCAACAGAACTTCATTCTAAGGAAGCCTCCAACTACAAGGAGATTCCACACACAGGTTAAGTTAATATTCTAGAGAGGTTCCAGTATACCTTTTCTGAAAAGGTTAATAGCAATGAATGATGCTTGGAAGAGTTAAGAACCTTTTACAAAGGCAGAGGACAGATATGCAGCAATTGGGCCCTTGTTCCATAAATAATTGTTCATATTGTTTTTACTCAGTGCAACTTATTAATAGTGAGCTTCCCAACTGTTTGATTTGCAGCCAATTCTAAATTCACAGCAAGTTGGCTCTTTGTAAGAAACTCTTCCCTCCCAAACTCAATTATATTTAAAATCTCATTTGCCATAATTTGGTAGAACCAATTCCTACCTGTAACTTTCAATTCAGTTGTTCGTCTTACAAGTTTTCCTTCATACTTAAGTTCACAAGTATAATTTCCTCCATCTTCTTCTTGAACTTCCTGGATTAGAAGAGCATTTCCTTTCTGTATTATTATGCTTCTCCACATTTTTGGCTCGCATTCCTACAGAGAAAATAGTTGCAAGTAAGAAAAAAATCCACATCATTAAGTCTTAGTACTGGCAAGTTAGTACTTTCACTTTTTTATGCTCTGTTCTTTAATTTTCAAAATATATAACTAATAAGTCAATGACCAGGCAACATCACAAATGTGTCTTATTGTGTCCAACTCAAACATAACAACTATCACACTAAAAGCCACTTTAAAAAGCCTGACCCTAAAATGCCCTTTAAAGGCATTCTACAAAAATGAAAAAAATAGAAAAGCATACAAGTCCCCCAAATGCAAGGGAGGCATAGAAGAAACTAAAAAGTCACTAAATATTATTATAATGCCCTGGTTCTTTCTACTTGCCAGAGCTATTTCCTTAGAGTCCTTAGAGGGTAGTGTTCATTTTGCCACATAGTAGACTCCAGGGGAGGTCTGGGGATTATTAAACATTCATAATAGGCTTTTACATTAGTAACAAGTCTACAATGATTTCATTAATTACTCCTTATAGAAAAAAAAAAAAAACCTAATACTTCCTCCAGAGACTCCTTCCTCATAGTCAAGAGAGCCATTTAATTGTGTGTGGGGGGTGGGGAGGGAAGAGGTAATAGTGTCTAGAAAATTAGACCTAAGGAGTTCTCTAAAAACATAAAACAAACAAAAAATTTCCATTGAGTTAATTCTGACTCATAGTGACCCTAAACGACAGAGCAGACCTGCCCCATAGGGTTTCCAAGGAGCTGCTGGTGGATTTGAACTGCCGACCTTTTGATTAGTGCTGAGATCTTAACCACTGTGCCGTAGCTAGGTAAAATGAGGCAAACTTTTTATAGTAACAGCATGGAGATATCACCCACTTACTTTCTGAGTTCAGTAATATATGACCAGAGAATAAGATTTGGATGTTGAAGCCAATTTTCCTGCTCTCCTGATAGGAACGTGAGAGAATCTTGCTACCAGGATTGAATTTCTTTAGAATGGAATATTTAACACTTATCCAGAGAGTGACAAGGATATAGGAATAGCTAAGAAGGGATCCCTGGAGGCACAGTGGTTAAGCGCTTGGCTGCTAACCAAAAGGTCAGCAGTTTGAACCTATCAGTTGCGACTCAGAAGAAAGATGTGGCAGTCTGCTTCCGTAAAGATTACGGCCTTGGAAACCCTATGGGGCAGTTCCACTCTGTCCTATAGGGCCACTATGAATCGAAATCGACTCAGTGACAACGGGTTTGGTTTTTCGGGGAAGTATCTAAGAATATTCAGCCAAGTCGTTTTGCCTTTTGGGAATTTTCTCAAGCTACATTTTAGGTATTATCCCAGGAAATCTACCACTCACCCCAAATGTCCAGCCAAAGTGGGGACCAAATGCTGTACAAACATCAGTAGAGGCATAGGGGTTAGCTGCAAGGGAGTGCTGATTAATCAAGGCAAAAAGTTTTGTCATCTAAATTCTTAGTCTGTCAGTTGAGGCAATAAAAGAAATCAATCATGAGGCAGATGATGTAAATAGTAGTTGAGAGCACTTTCCACCTTCCCCACCATGGATGGTGCATACTACATTTGCATCTGCCTCTTCTCCACTCCCTCACACATACACATCCTGAACCTCGCCTAAAAGTAGAATCCATGCTGACTCTCAGTTCCCCAGCTCTGAGCATTTGTGTGTGTATGTGTGTGTGTGTAAAATGACTCAGGAGAGTGAGTGCCCTCATTTATTAGTTTTTCACTGTAACAATTTTTTTTTTCTTTTATGTTAGCAGCAGTTTGGACAACAAAACACAAAAACTGGCACTTAAGTTCACAGGTATAATATTTAACAGATATGCTTGCTTTATGTCCAATACAACCACCCACACACATTGTCCGAGAGTAAATAAAAGTAATACTATCCAGGGTATCTAGATATAAGGCTGCCACAAACCCTAGGGTCCTTCTGAAGAATAGTTAAGGGTCTGTCTGAAATTATATTACATACCATGTCTGGCAAAGTTTATCACCTATATGAGATTTGCTTCTGAGTTAAACCTTGGGATATAAGGTTTCTGGGAAAATGAAGAAGAAAGTCTGAACTGAGAGAAAAAAGCCTAGGCCAGCTGCCACTGCCGTCATACAATAATAATCCACAATTATTTTCGCATTGCTTCCAATTCTGATAGCCTCAGATTTCTAAAGAATCATTCTGAAGGTCATTAAACAAAAATATGGTCCCTCTGGGCATTTTGAAGGGAAAGGAAACTGAAAACTGAGCTGCTGCGCTTTCAAATAGTGGTGGTGGGGGTGGCAAATGATCCCACACACTCATTTGATTCAAAGACAAATGGTGGCGTTTTCTATTGTCATTTTGGGGAAAGTCCATAAGCAGCAGGGCTTTGAACCAGTTTCCTTCAGGTTCCAACCCCTGCTGAGAATTTGCATTTCCACTCCAGATATACTGAATCAGAATCTACATTTTAACAAGTTCCCCAGGCGATTCTTATGTATAACTTCCTGGGAACCTGTTAGAAATGCACATTCTCAGCAGGGGTTCTAAGGGAAACAAAATGGTTTAAAGCCCTGATATGCAATTAGTTCTAAACATTTTCTTTTTCTCTGCTTACTGCTTTGACGCCGCCCCCGCCCCCCAGCCAGGAAGTAAAAACCAAAGAGTAATAGGAATTAGAAAATACTCCTGATGAAGAACAGCCTGGTATGTTTATAGGTTCTTTGAATAGATCTAGATAATCCCACATGCTTTCCAAGTTGCCATCTAGCCTAGTAAAGGATTCTTTGTACTCAGTAAAGATTTTTTTGGAAAACTATGACATAGGAACACATTGTCTTCAGGTCACCTCCCCTCTTTGGGAGGTAATATAGTATAGATGAAGGGCAAACTGGCTTTAGAGCAAGACAACTATGTTCACATCTGAGGTTCAGTCAAGTCTGTGATCTTGGGCAAGTTTGCTTAACTTCTCTAGGTGTCTGTTTCCTAATTTGCAGTATGAAGATAATAGTAACTATCATGTGAGTAGTCATAACTCAGAGGATTGCAGGGTTTATTTACTACATTCCTGTGAAAAACCAAAAACCAAACGTGTTGCCGTCGAGTCGATTCCGACTCATAGCGACCCTACAGTACAGAGCAGAACTGCCCCATAGCATTTCCAAGGAGTAGCTGGTGGATTCAAACTGCTGACCTTTTGGTTAGCGGCTGAGCTCTTAACCATTGTGTCACCAGGGCTCCACACTCCTGTTGGACAGCACTATATATAGTGGTCGTTTAGCATAGAGAATGTTTCACATTCCTGAAATTTTCCCTATCCTGAATACTGTTTCCTCAGAACCTCCTGCTCTGCTTGGTGAAAATTGGTGGTAATGGACTAATCAAATTAAAGAAAATCTTCACTAATGGGTTAACTACCCCCCACCCCAGCAACATAATACTTTAATCCACTGAAAACATATAGCTCTGAAGAGGCAACCCCAGTACAGAGGAGCTACTTTTTTGGTCAGAAGAGCCTTTAAACCACCCTTCTCGTCTTTCCATATAGATGACCATCTTGCCCCCATTAAGTTGCCCTTCACGAGATCACCTCCTTGGCTTTCCTTTCCATGTCTGGGTGTCTGTATGAAATCTCTAAAGTCATCCAGGCTTCTGACATAGTTTCAGTGTTTCATCCCTAAGCTAATAGCTGCTTGGCTTGCTGTTGTCACTGCTCCCTTCCTGCCTCGACTCTTCCTATCACCTCATTCCTAGTGGACAGGCAGCATTGCCAGACCTCACTGACCTAGACCTGTTCATTTAATTCTGACAGCCTGTTAGCCAAAGGAGTTTGAAACACATAGGTCAAGTCTCAAGCTGGTTGTTTATCCGAGTCAAAGACAAACCACCAAAGCCTCAAAGAGCAGACCTCTAACACTGACCTCAATGTACAATTTCCCTATTATTTAATGTCCCTGGGGATATTACAATTAACTTCATCAACTTGAAGGTTTTGCTGAGAGCCAGTCTCACTGGAGGTGCTTAAATTAAAGTTCAACAAGCAGCTCCAGTTCATGGCCTGGCTATTGCCTCACCAAAACAGTTTGTTGTGGGACATCCTTGCTCAGTCAACACAATGGCAGCCCTTAAAGCCCAGCTTCCTTTCTCCCCTCCCAGCTGCCCTGTGTGGCAGATGTCACTTGTCAGCAGTTGCTGGGATGGGAGCCTGGAATGCACAACAGAGATATCTGTTGGCCCAAGCCCTGCAAAGTGAACCTGATGCCAGCCACATTGAGATCCGGGAGTCTCCACCTTGAAATATTCATCACTGTATTCAAGGTCCACTTTTAAGATATCATCATCATATCTGCAGGTGCTTTCTAATCAGTTTGGTGGCTGTGGTTACTTTAGTGCTATTCAAAGCACATGGCACATTTTTCATGGCCAGAATATCAGGAAGATTGATTTAAATATTTCTTCTGATTTTGAGTTTCAGCCATTAAACAGCTGTACAACCATGAGCCAATCATGTAACCTTTGTTCCTCAAAGCACCTTTGTTCCAACACCCAACTTCAACTCCCTTACACCCAAGTCGCTCTCCTTTCCCCAGGAGACTTGACTGTCCCATAGAACATCCAGACATCTGTCTAACAGTCTGTAGGGAACCTGAACTTTTTTCAGTCTAAAGATGGAAGAGATGGTTAGGAGCACAATTATGAATAGGGTGTCAACCTTGCCCTTTTCAGCCCTATCTCTACTCTAAACTCCTAGGACAACCCATTCCAGGGAGCCTTTCCTCTCTCTAGCTCTATTTCTCAACCTTTCTATTTTTACAATTCTAATGCTGAAGTTGGTAGCACACAGTGGTTGAAAACGTAAGTTCTAGACTCAGGCATTTGGACTGGGATTCTAAGTTGTATGTTCTTGAGCACACTACTTAATCTAATCTTCAGTTGCATCATCTGTAAAAAACAGGTGATGATAATAACATTTATCAATTGGAGTAATTATAGGAAGAAATGAGGTAATGCATGTAAATTACCTGCAACAGAG